CCCTCTCCATCCAAAAATCTGTTCAAAATTCATTAGGTGGGATCTATCACTAGAAACAGACGGAAAATCACCGAAAGTTAATCTTCATTTCAAATCCAAAATTCAAAATCAAAAATTCAAAGAAATTCGTCACAAAACCAACTTTCGTTACAGCTGAACGGAATCTACCTTTGTGATGCCGTAAGTCCAGAGTCCTCGTTGTTTGGTTCTGCCTGTTGAACCTGGCCATTTGAAAATCCGCAAAATCGAGAACGCCTCATTTTCCCAGGAGTGTAGGGAGTCACGGTGTAGGGCTTCATTTTCCTAGCAGTGTAAGGAAGTCACATGTATAGCTCAGCTTCTTTCAACGCTTCACTGTCGTTCAGTTCTCCACGGACAAAGTAGAATAGCCCCATTTCCAGATAGATCGCCAAGAGCTTCGAGCAATTCCCCTTTGAGATATCCTCGGCAGTAGCATTTAAGAACGCAAAATGAAGACGCTTTATTTTCCGCAACTTCAACAGCGGAAAATTTCATAAATTAAAAGAACTAGCCTCGTCATTTCATTTCTGTCCTGAATGAGCTTTTGCAGCTCATTGATCAGGAAATCGACAGCTTCACGCCCCGTGAAGCTGTCATCAAACCAGCCCAGTTGGCAGCGATGGCGCTTCAACGGCATCGCAGTGCGGAAACGTCGCAGCATTCCATTCCACTGCAACAGTAAAACCAAAATTTTATCGCATTTTTGCGAGCTCGTCGCAACTTTCTGATCAATCGCATTTTCTGGCTGGCAAAGAAACACATCTCTTCCATGAAACGGAAACGTTTTAGACGAGTGATGCTTAATGCACAGCATCGGCATCTCCAAACAGTCGGACTCCTGTCCAGAGCTAGTAGTGCGCTAATGGGATGAAAGGAATATAGCTTTTGTAAGTCTCGAGATGAAAAATCGGTACAGAGGCCCAGGGCACTCACAGACAGACACACACATACAGACAACCTCTCTTCAATATGCGTTTTCCGCACTGTATAGCTGCAAAAA